ATTTTTACTGGTGTAAATACCACCTCCGAACTACGCAAAATTTCCACTACTGGTTCTCCAGAACTGGTCAGAACCTGTTGAATGCCACCCCTGCTATGGGATGAAAAAAGACTGAGGTCTGGCTTCTGCTTGTGGTAGACTCCATGGCTCATGAAGACAAAACAATTCTGGAATTGCCAGAGGATTATTTTAAAGGATCATTTCTCTACATCCCTGCAGCATTCCAAAACATAAGGCCTGCACCCCACGTCTGAAAAGTGTAACCTTATGAAACAATGTTCATGCCTTCCATTCTTCTTCCACAAGTAGATCCATTGGTGGAGGAGACTATAAACTAGCAGGGCTCTGGCTGATGTATGAAGGCCAAGTGGCCTTACAAATATCAATTCCTAGATCTTCCTCTCTCCAGCAGCTCTTCTGAGCCCCTTTCCATTCTCTGCTGGAGGGCTGCCAATTTTCTGGAGCAATTTTTTTTGAGGGGGGGAGGGGAGGTCATTAAAGGGAAGGTAGGAGAAAATGACCTCTTTGACATAATGTGCATGGGACTCTGCTTGCTGGATCTCTAGATCTAGCTCGTCGTATCAATGATGCCTCTGTCTTTCGACAAAAGGCCTGCGTCATACAAAGCCTGGATTGTGACACTTGATGAAAGCTAAGCTCTCGCTAGCCCTATCTCAAGGTAGCAGAGTTAAGAGTTTGAAGCCTCCCCGCCCCCACAGTCAAGCTTTAAAATGTGTTGCTTGATAATGGGGACCTGAAATAACCCCTGAGTGGGGGGGGGGGAGGGTTGGTTGGGTTTTGTTTTCAAGTGTGTTCTTGCTTAAGGTTTAATTGGCTCCAGTCAGTAGGAAAGGGCTCCAAGACTGATTATTTATGGCTTACTGTCAAAAGGAGCTATTAAAAAAGGGCAGTATTATCTTGGAGATGTTGGGAAGCAAAGTGTGTATGAAGGGGGGGGAGCGTGTGTGTGTGTGTGTGTGTATAGGAGTGTGTTTCCTTGTACTGGATAAAATCAGTTTTGCTGTCTCAGCAGTGTGGTTTAAATTGAAGATTAACCCTTTGACCTTCACAGTGTCAAATCACTTACAGATGGATCACCAGCTACACTTCTCTTCTCCCCCCCTTCCTTTCCCCCCCTCTCCTGTGTTTGCTGGAAGGGGGAGGCACTCTCCTTTAGGAAAAAAAGTGGGGGGGGGCGAAGTTGTTTGTTCTTGCAGCTGGGCTATGAGACACTCAGAAGCCAATCTGATTAAAAACAGCACTTGGCTAAACTCTGCAGAATCCTGCAAAAAAAAAAAAAAGGAAAAAAAAGGGAGGGATTAATCCTTTTGTGCACAATACATAAAGGGTCTGCTTCTTTCTTTCATAATATTGGAGCAACAATTATTCCTGGAGAAACTACTACTAGTCACACACACATACCCTGGGGCCAATGCATTTACCCCCTTTATATGTGTAGTATTGCTGGATTAAAAAGTGCCTGTTCTTAAAAAATATAACTTAGTTTTTAGTGGGACAGGTTAAGCTTTTGAATTGTGGCTTTAACATTTTATGTGAGTAATCTTGTTGAGATCCCTTTCCCCCTCCCCCCCTTTTTACAGCACCAGCAGAACAGAAATCAGGTCTGGTGGCAGATCCTTCTCTTCCTCCATAACTTGGCCTTGAACGTGGAAGCCAACAGACAACGTGTGGGTCAGAGGTGAGACCTGCCCTCCCTCTTCCAGGTTCCATCCAGTCTGCTGGGAGCACCAAACAAACCCAGGTTATAAATGTGTGTGCCACTGGACAGATGTGAGGCTCCTGTGGACCCCGCAAGGGTGCTAGTTGTTGTACAAAAGACTTGTTTTCAATGGACTCGCCTTCTGACTCCCTTGCCTTCCGTAGTGGGGAGCTTTGGTCCAACACTGTTGAAGAAAGATCTTCCCAAATTGTCTGGCTTATAATCAAGGTCCAAGGAGGAGCTGATGTAAGGAAGCTTTGGAAGAGTTGGTGATGGACTGTTGGTGATATTCTAGGAACGAGGTTTGGGGCAACTACCAGATTCCTGATAAGTAAACTTCGAAGAAACTCTTGTTAACAAGCAACTGTGAAACAGCATATAGAATCTGTACAACGGAATCCTAACATTTTAAATACTGGAGATACTGGTGTAAACAAGGAGTGAGTCTTGAATAATAACACCCAATCATTACACTCAGGAACATATAGGCTCCCCTCCTCTCTTTTAACTCAAGTCAGAAAAATGCAGTTAACTTTCTTATCAAATGTAACTTTCTTTACTACTCTAAAGCTGTAATCCTTATAGTAATAAAATAAGCCATTATCCAACCAATAGGATTTCTTAGCTTTCCTTCCCTAAGGAGAGAAGAAAGGTTTGTCCTCGGAGAGAGAAATCCAGCCTCACAAGGACCTTCCCTAAAGCTACAAACTCTCTGCAGTTGGTACTATGAAGGTCAGGATGGCGGGGGGGGATGGGGGGGCTTGCTAGTAGAAACCCTGTTTTCCACTGTCCTCATATGCCAACTTGCCTCTAAAGTGAATAGGATCATGGCAGCCTGGAGCTTGTACCATCCTTTTCCTTCCCATTGAAAACATTGGGCAGGACAAGGAAAGGAAAATTCTCTTTTTGGGGGGAGATCCAGTCAGCTTAAGCTACTAAAATTACAGCAGAACTTATTCAGCTTTCTGGGTTTCTCTCTTTTCTAAGTCCAAACATTCAACAAAATTTAACTTAGCAGAGAAAAGTGCCTTAATTTTACATTAAACTCTCATTATGATTATACTCAGTATCAGAGATGGAGCCACAAACTACTGAACGCCGCCACGTATTACCTATTTTTCTTTAGCTATTTTTTAAAAAACGGAAGTAAAGTTTTTATTGGGAAAACAAGAAAATCAGATACATTGCAGGAAAGAAGGGGAATGCTTTTTATTGCCTGGCCATAAGTAGAGGGGCATCAATCCGAAAGATTCTGAAAGGGGTTTTGCACTCCAGTTTCAGGTTTCTGGAGTTTTCAGTCTTAGGGCAGGTGAAACGCAAAAAGAATTAGAAGGCTGGTTATGCAAAGATTTGGCTACATTTTTGCAAGAGACATGTACCTTTCAAAGTGTTCGCCTGAAGACATTTGCTATTCTGAACTACATAGCAATACTTCCCCACTATCTTAAGAGGCAATATTCCTACTCTAGGTGTTTTTAAGATTTAGGGTCAGCGGTCACACAGTTTGATTAATGTTAAGTGCATTTGCGGTTTCCCCTCATGGCTTTCGCATGTTGTGCAGATCTAGCCAATATGGTTAGTTTGTGCTTTGTCGTATTTTGAGGACTAAGAAAATGGACTAACACAGGAATGCAGCTGGGTGATTGTGTGTTTAGTACTTCTTCCCAAAAATAGCTGTAATGAGAGCATCTCTAACATAATGGCCTTTTTATATATGGATTTTAAGGAAATAAAAACAACATGAATTAACAATATCCGCATCGTTTAAATATTTCCCAATGTGAAGGAACAAATAGTTCAGACAAAGTTCTATTCCAAAGTTTCTAATACTTACATTTTTAATTTCATATTTTCGGAGAGGGATTTTAGAGTTTAGCAAGCAGCTTAGTCTCCAGCTTTTGCGTCTCTGTGCTAGATTTCCTTCCAGCTTTGCCACCGTGCCTTCACTAAGAGAGTCTTTGCCCCATCTGGCCTCATTATGGAACTGTAGGGCTATATTTCAGCATTTATGTAGTGAGTTGAAAACTTGCTGCTCCGAATCCTGGACTGAATCCAACTTCTGATCTCTACAAAAAGAACAGATTTCTTCTATAGTACAATCTGGTCTAATGAAGCATTCCTGCTGGTAGAATGAATAGGTGATTTCTGATTCCTCTAAAAATCTCTTCTGGAAAATTGTGGAGCTCTAGGACAGTGAAGAAGGTGATGTGAAACAGAACTCCCTAATAAGAATTCTGCTTAGGGAGGTCCTGCTGGATTCAGACTCCTATTTTCACCCTCTTGAAAGGAATCTATCTATCCCAAATCCATCTCCCCGAGAGCTTATAATTTGAAGATGTGAAAATGGATCACCTGGGACAGGTTTCCACAAGTCAGGTGTCATTTAGGTATGCTGAAGATTTAGTTCGCTAATTCTCAACCAGCGAGAGGGCACTAGGTTGGGAAAGGGTGACTTAAATGAAGTGGCTCCAAGAATCAAGAGTTTCTGAGCCAAGTCTGCAATCCCAACCATATCAATATGTTCCTATGCCGCACCTTCCTTTAATTGACTCAGACAAATAACATTGCTGACCATGACTGCATCGTGCGGTATAAAGATGGAAGATTGTTTCCTTGGACTTTTTTTAATGGGCCAGATTCATTTTTGATAACCTCTTTAGATGCTACTCCTCTTCCTGATCAGTATAAGGAGTTTTTAGCCTTTTTGCCGTGAGAGCAGATGCATTAGATTGCCTTGTTTGACACATGGCCTACTTACCCATCGTCAATTTGGACACAGGGCAGACATCTGAAGCACAAAGCTTTATTGTATTATTCTCTGCAGTGGACTAAGCAGTAACTAAGGGATGGAGAAGTAGGGCATGTTAGCACATGCATGTTGCCTTCTATACAATTCTTTTTGTGTGAAGACTAGAAATCCCAATTGGGACCTTTAAGAGTTTTACATTGTGTCTTCTTTAACCTAATACATCAGAATTATTATTGTTGAACAGTGGTTCCCTCCTCCCCACTATTACCAATGATTACTGTCTGTTTATACTAAAAAGTTATGATGATAATAATAATAAATGTGTATCTATTTAAGTGTATAATCAAGAACAGAACCTGTAACGGGGCTGAACTGGTTATAAGGCATAATAGCTTCATCCCACCAGACGTAATTAATGTGTTCTATTTCTGGATGAGGACCTGGGAAGCCTATTTGGATTTTAGATTTTTCATATTGTGTAGGACCAGAACAACCTGCTTAATATCTAGTAATAGAAAAAGAGCATGTGATTTTTACTTATCTCCTCTGGCTTCTTGTGACCATTTGGTGTCCTTATCTTGTGCATTCTAACTGGACTACCACCTTGGTTTAATGAGACACTTCTCAATGAATTCTGTGAATCTTCTTAATAATACAACCTGATGTTGCTTATGAGTCCCAAGTTTTTGGAACTCTAATTTTTGAATGGATAGATAGATAAAATCAGGGCTGGCTTAGGACATCTACACTTCTAAAAGAACACTTCCATATTCTAAAGTTCCTCAATTAGGGAGCCCCATTTAGGGAGGGGCTCTTCTCTCATGATCATTTAATTCAAAGGAAGCAAAAGTCCTTGGCTTGGGGTGGAGGTTGCTTTGTGCCACTAGTTTACAGTTGTCTTTTCTCTTTAGTGGCTCTTTAGCAACTGAAAGAAAGTCTTTGCCATGGTAGAAAGACCATGGGAGAGCTCCAAATAACCTGCAACATTATCTGAAGCGCTACTACCTCAGTAAAATGTTGCAAATGAGGCAGAGCAATTTACAGCAAAAGCTTCCATCGAGCAAGGAAATTTCTTTTTACTATCTCTTTCTCCTCAATTCAGCTGGTTCTTTGTTAATCCTTTTTAAATCAAACTTTCCTTGGCTGCATTCTCTCCAGTAATAGTGCTTTTGCTGCAGTTCTTGGAAACTGAGACAGCAATCATAACAAACTGTACTGCCTGAGGTGACTCCCAGCTGCCAAAAAAGCCAGGCCAAGGTGGGGAGAGAATAGAGGAATGGTCTTCAGATAAAGACCCCGAGGATAAAGGCCCTGGGGACACTGGCTGATTGTCCTGCATCGGGCTTTTGTTGCGCAACGTCTGTGTCTCTATATGTAGCTGCTGTTTTCTTTGAATTGTGTGGATTTTCCTTTATCCCATGGCATTGTGTTCTCCTATTGTAGCAAATCTGCTTGTCTTGTTCTGCCAACTTAAGCAGCCTGTTGGCAGTAAGTTCTTGTCAGTGTTCCCAAAGGCTGGAATTTTCATTTTTTAAAACTGTACTAATCTCTTCACCTACTTGCAAGCTTTGGTTATAATCAGCCAAAGAGGGTGATCTAACATTCCCATCGAAAACCGTCTCTGTAACTTTGCTTTCAACACATTGGTTTTGGGTTTGGTTTTGTTCTTTGAGGAATTAAAATTGTGGCCTACTGGCATTGTGACCAAACCCCAGATATGCAGGGATACTGTTGTCATGTAACAGTGAGCTTGAAGTCATTAACTCCAATCACTGTTTGGTACAAAATAAGGACATATACAACAGGAGTTGAAGCTGTAACTGAGATTGGCCACAAACTGACAATCCCATCCTATAGAAAAGCCTGGGAAAGGCATTAATCACATAAAAAGTAGAATCAGATGTGCCTTGGCTTTTCCAAAGTGAAAGAGAGCCATGACATGGGACATGCATTTATTCCAGTGCTTCATATAAATTACCCACGGGCTATAAACAGAATGGACAACAATTAGTAGATTTAACTGGCTGTGATAAATTAAAGGAGTCATTACAAACACCACAAGTATTGTGGCTATAACTCCACTGTCGTCTCAAATTGCCTAGCTGCCATGTGGCACATGGGAAGTTTCTTTATACTGAATAAGAACCATAAATAATCTAACTGCACAGGCACCAACCCAACCCTATCTCCCCCCCCCCCCGGGTAAGGTAAAGGTAAGGTAAAGGTTCCCACGCACATGCATGCTAATCATTTCTGGCTCTAGGGGGCGTTGCTCATCTCCATTTCAAAGTCAAAGAGCCAGCACTATCCGAAGACATCTCCGTGGTCATGTTGCCGGCATGACTCAATGCCGAAAGCTCACAGAGCACTGTTACCTTCTCACCAAAGGTGGTTCCTATTTTTCTACTTACATTTTTTACATGCTTCGAACTGCTAGGTTGGCAGAAGATTGGACAAGTAATGGGCGCTCACCCCGTTTCGCGGCGCTAGGGATTCGAGTCGCTGAACTGTCAACCTTCTGATTGACAAGCTCAGCATCTTAGCCATCTCATCCCCCCGTGTCCCCTTCCCCCCAGTATCCTCTCTCTATTATGTTGCCAAAATTTGGAGGTAAACGCAGGAAATCAAGAGCATTTCCCCCCACTTTTTATTTTTGGAAAAATAACACCTGAAAGAAAGCCCTTGAAAACTATAATGCATGTCGTTGTCACCAAGCCCTGAGATCCTTGCAGGGGAGTTTCTTTCTTTTTTTAAAAAAAAGTAGACTCTGGTCACAGAAAAATTGACTGAACTTGGTCTACAATGCTTATCAGCAGCCCTGCCAAACCTTCAGACAAATATCTTCCTTTCAATATCCCAGAGATCTGACATGGGACCACTTGAGTAGGACTTCAATATCCTTGCTAGTATTTGTTAATCTCCCAAATAGATTAGTGTGCTGTAGCATTTTCAACTGCGCCTGCCTGAATGCAGGCACATAGCTCTTTTATACTGTATATAGTACATCTGGAGCTGGAGACCAAAAACAAACAAGGTTCAAGGAAGCACCCTTTGGAAGCTGGAGTTGATGGACAGGGAACAAAAGTACGTAAGCTTCCTGTTATGCTCCTGAATTATCCTGCAAATGAGGAGATGATTGTCCTATCCTTAATATAGAACTAATGTTTCATTTCCACCTACTTTTCTGTAGTTGAGATGAAGGCAGCATCTTTCTGCAGGGACACATTGGCTCAGTGGCTGAGCCATTGAGCTTATTGATCAGAAAGGTTGGCAGTTCGACAATTCGAATCCTTAGCGCCACGTAACAGTGTGAGCTCCCATTACTTGTCCCAGCTTCTGCCGACCTAGCAGCTTGAAAGCAAGTAAAAATGCAAGTAAAAAAATAGGAACCACCTTTGGTAGGATGGTAACAGCGTTCCGTGCACCTTCAGCGTTTAGTCATGCCGGCCACATGACACAGAGACATCTTCAGACAATGCCGGCTCTTCAGCTTTCAAACAGAGATGAGCACCGCCCCCTAGAGTTGGGAACAACTAGCACATATGTACGAGGGGAACATTTACTTTTACAGCATCTTTCTTTTCACTTCAGATAGTGGAAGCATTTGAACCAGTTCTCTGTGGCTACCTTCTCTCCTGATATGGTGGGAATTTACAGAGCAGATAACTAAGTTTACAATCTCGCAATCAATACATATCTTTTAAGATATGGGTAGCTTGAGGCCTTCCAAATGTTGCTGAACAGCTGTTTTTGACATGACCAATGCTGAGGAATGCTGGGAACTTGGTCCTGTGGCATCTGGAGAGCCTAATTTTCTAAGCCTTGTTTCAAGACACGAGTTTTAATACCCTGGATAAGCATGCTTAGGACCAAATATGAGGTTGCTTACATTTATGTGTTATTTTACTCCTATCCTGCTTGGTTTTGTGTACTGAAAGCAGATGGTCTTGTGGTTCATTACATTATATCATATTTTAAACATCTGGCAATATGTGTTCAGTTCTATTGGGGTTAGTTTCACATTGGAGCCAGCAACATGTAAAAACAGAACTTCAGGTGCAACCTATCAATCAGTGGCATATTTCACCCTCTAATGTAAAATAGGAAAAGGGATAATTGGTTCTAATGACAACCATATAATGCTTAACTATTAGTTGGAGATTTATTAAGAAATTTATTTTTCAGTGGAGGGTAAAATCTGAAGTTAATGAACCAAAGGTTCAACTCTATGTACACTTGAAAGTAATTCCACTTTACTGTAAACGGTCTTGCTTTTGAGTTAGCCTATGTAGAATCATATTACATGTCATCTTAATATCTTAATCGTTTAAAACAACAAATGAAGCTTGAGATCTATATCTTAAAAATACAGACCTGTCCTTTACATATTCAAATGTCCATTTTCCATCTAAGATTATATGACTGTCTTACTTTTCAGCTATTTCATACCCTGAAAGGAAAAAAAAAAACATTTGCCAACCTTTCCAACTCTAACTGATTTTTAAGTGCTACTTTTGTTTTGCAGGCAAGAGTGGGTTGGATCCCAACTTGGTCCTCCTTAGAGTAGAGCTATTAATTGTGATGGAACCTGGGAAAGAGGCCTGTATTTTAGCAAATTTTTTTTGGACTAAATTTGGATCAAAGCCACTGTTTATCTTCATGGTCTGAGAAGCTTCATCTGCTTTTCAAGATATGAGGATTTTTCCCCCCAGGTATTCTGGCAGCTCTTGTTAACAAATGTCATTTTAGCTATTAAATTTTATATTTCATGCACACAAAATAATAATAATGACTTAATGTTGCTTTGGGTTTCACAGTGACAGTACCATTTGTTTAGTATCTGAAACAGTACTGAACTCCTACAAATTTCTTGTTCTTACTCATCAGCAATACCAGAAAAGAGGCCAAATATGTCACATGCATTGGAATATAATTGTGTATATCTATAAATAAAATGTGGTCTCCAAGTTCCTCTTTCCCGTTGCCTCAAATAGAATAACCAGAATTTAACTGCCTTTGCTGTATTTTGTTCACAGTGATTGGAAAAATTGGCAAGTTGCCATAAAAACTATCCCTGCTGATGTATTCAAACCGAGTTGCCTTAAAGACACAGCTACAGAGGTTGGGTGAAGCATTGGCAACCCAGACAGATTTATTGGTTGGGTTATTGCAACTCACTGGCTGTGAAACTGGATTAATGAGCACTCATGTGCCACCATGTTAAACCCCCCCCCCCACCTCCCTTCATGAATTTGCAAAATAAATAGGAACTTTTCAGAAATCTACTTTGGAAGATGATTTCTGCAAATAGAAAGCCATATGACTTTGGAGGTGAGGGGGACTTTATAATGCTTAAATGAACTCCATTGAAACCAACTGAATAACTGGCATTACTCATTTGTCCTGTTGATTTCTATGAGCTTCAATTGCAACTTATGCTCTCTGGTAGGAAGCCTGTGCCTCCAGGAACAATTGGGACCTAGAAAAATTTTGGGGATGTGTTTCTAGAGGCCTTCAGATTATTTTCAACCTTTGAGTAATGAGAATACAGGATGAGTTTAAGAGTAGGAAAGGTATATTGGATCATTGCTATTTTTAAATGCTGTTAAGAAAATCACTGTTCGTACAATGTTTGTATAAAAAAAACATTTTTTGGTAAGGATGTTTATTTAAAAAAATATTGATTAGGATTGGTATACTGGGCCTGATAGGAAGGAGCTAGAGTTTTCTGTAACTCTTTGCTGCCATCTAGTAATTCCCCAGATGCATTGGTACCCTTTCAATGCTATGAGCCTACCCAATCTGTAAGGCAATTGTTTATATTGTTTTATAAATATTTATATAACTCTTTTTTGTTCAGAGTGCTTTTAATGTCAAGAATTATTGCCTATTTCATTATTATAGGAATCATAGGAATTACGGAAGCATGTTTTGTGTAAAGATGGGATTTTTGCGCATTCAGTAACTGTAAGAGAAACCAGCTCCCCTTTGTGATGGGCTTGAAAAAAAAATTGGATCTGTTGAAAAATTGCACCCGTTTTGTGACTATTAAAAATAGAGGATCCTCTTTTGCTTTTGTACTTACTGGATACAGCATACCAAACCAAATCAGTGTTTCTTTATTTCACACAGTTTTGGTTATTTAAATAATGATCAACTTTTTAAAAAACAAATCCTGAGACTCACTGTCATTTCATTCTTAACTTTGTAGATCTATTGTGCCTTTTCACTATTTAAGGCAAAACTGTCTGTAACAATCTTATAACATGTTACAAGGATGTGTGCTCTCTGCACATGAGCATGTTCCTTATCAGAGGACAGTGGCTCCCCAAAGTTGACAAAATAATCCAGAAATCACAATGAGGACCATTCTTTAAATGAGTTTTCTTTAATTGGATGCTTCTAGATGGGAGTCTGGAAAGTTGCAATCCCAATATAGCAGGAGTTCATTTTTCCTCCAATATTCTGGTCCATTGAAGTCAATAAAATACTGTATATAAATATTAAGTCAAATGTATTTTTCTTAAACTGTGAAATTGGAATCCTAAAGAAGCTTCATTCTACAGTCTTAAGGTGTCTTGAATCTCCCGTTCTGATGTAGTAACTTATAATTAATCTATATTTGTTATAATCTTCTGCCTTTCCATCACATCCATATACTGCATGCTGCAGATTTCTTTTAAGAGTGATATAAGAAAGAAGAATTTAAGACATGTGTTGTTGACATGTTCAACTTTGTAAATAAGAAATTACAGTAATTTGGAAATAGCCAATTATACTGGGAAAACTGGTAGGCGGCAAATATTGCCACATCATTTTTAAAAGTGTTTTTAAAAAGATTTCATTCATATTGTATATATTATATATTCTCCCATTTTGCAGGATGTTTCTGTTATTATATCTTTTGCCATCATGGGCCTGAAGTGCACAGACCTCCTTTTCCATGGACCCAGTGAGAATGTAGCATTTTATCTAGCTATGGTTACATGTCTTTAGACTGTTCTGTCTCAACCAGGGGAAAGTCAGAAGAATTCCCCCTTTTTTTGTTATCTTTGCAGAATATTTACTTCTGGATGTCTCTGTTTTTCTTATTTCTGACTATTCAACTTGGACTCTTTTTTTCATAATTGGTACCATTTTTAATAAATACTTAAAATCAAATCAAATGTTTT